CACCATCCATCCTGATGCTGCCAATTGGTCCAGTGGTGAGAATCTTTGTCTTCTTGACATTGAGCCTCAATCCATATTGTAGGCTGCAGTCCTTGACCTTCTGCGGCAAGTACTTCAGGTCCTCCTCAATTTCAGCAAGCAGGGTTGTGTCATCTGCATAACGCAGATTGTTGATAGATCTTCCACCAATACTGATGCCACACTTCTCCTAATAGAACCCAGCCTACCAGATAATCTGTTCTGCATACAGGTTGAAAAGGTATGGAGACAGGACACATCCCCGGCATACACCCTTCCCAATTTTGAACCATGCAGTGTTTCCTTGTTCTGTTCGGACTACTGCCTCTTGGTCCAAGCATAGGTTTTGCATTAGTAAAATCAAGTGTTCTGGGATTTCCATTCTTCTCAGAGTCAGCCACAGTTTGTTGTGATCCACATAGTCAAACGCCTTTGCTTAATCAATGAAACACAGATAGACATTCCTCTGGTATTCCCTGCTATCAGCCAAGATCCATTTAACATTAGCTACAATATCTCTAGTACCATAACCCCTTCTAAAACCAGCCTAGACTTTTGACACTTCTCTGCTGATGTGCTGTTCCAGTCATTTTTGGATAATCTTCAGTAAAATCTTAGTATTTTTTAAAAAGAAAAGAATAAACTTAAATGTACCACAAACCAACAAATGTGAATGCTGTACTGTGAAAATTATTTTTCTAAGTGTATGTGGTATACTGAGTAGGAGCTTGCTAAAAGCTTGAAACAAAAACTTGAAAAACATTGGATTTTTCTAGATCAAGGGCGAATATTTCCCTTTAAAGCTTTTGGTGAATTCCAGAAAGGCCAAAGTATTACATGACCCACCAATATTGTATAAGTACACCAAAACAGAAATTATTACTCTTTCATTTTTATTGATTGATTAGAAAAGTAACATGATGCTATTTTAATTTGTAGTTTCTTTCTCCTAGCATTGATATTAACAGTATTTCTCTTTTGTTAATTCTATTTCTATGGAAATTATTTTTTTCCAAATCTAAGAAATACTAAATTTAGGTGGGCTTGTTATAGTTTTAGAATATTTAAAATTTATAACATAATTTAAAAATACATGTTAATTAATTTTATTATAAGCTTTCATAAGTGGTCTCAATTATCTTTGAATATTTATATTAATTTTGTAACTCATTTGGGTGAACAACGTAATTAATGTACAAGATAAAAAGGAAAGGAAAGCTTCTCCTTGTCATCAACTATGTGAACTTAATGAAGTGATTTGTCCTTGATAAAATTAGTGTAGAAACATAAAATTTCTGATTTTCTCAAATACACACTGTTTCAACAAGCAAATGATTTTATCGGGCTATAACTGACTAGGCAAGTTAATGAACTTGTTTTATAAATGGACTGTTGTTTTAAGACTTTTTACTGTCAATTAAAAAAAAACAAACCAACAAACCCTAGTATCTAATTTCTTTAAAGCAACACCCCAACAAATAAAAAAATTCCACGTGCGAACTGGACCTGGATAAATAGCACTCCCTGCTGGCTGATTTATGAACAACAATTTGATAAAAAATACTTTCTAGAAAATCAAGAGATAAAAAGACAATGAATTTCCTGATCATGCATTTAGAGAACAAGAAGGAGGACAAAGTTTCTATTTGGAACCTTTTTCAAGCCTCTTAAGGTCTATTTTTAGAAAATAAACAGGATGCCACTGAGAGTAGAAAAACTATAACACAACTTGAGCATAAGCAGTAAGTTATGTTCATATTATCATATTTTTGTTGATCAGGTTATAATATGAAAATTACAGTAAAGAATAGAAAAATCATACCACAGCTGCTAAATGTGAAAAAAGATGTTTACAGTTAACTAGCAAATTATTAGGAGTGTGAGCTCTAAAGTTTAACATCTGTATAACACAGGTAGTTTTCACATTTCAAGTATATTACTGTTACATTATTTTCTTCTTATTAAGTGTGTATGTTTTCCTGTATCTTTTCTATACATGAATATATTTTTTTCTCATTTTAAAAAGAGCCAAAAATAAACTATATAAATCTTTAAAAGGAGTTACAATGCCTTATCTCTGTATGTGCTGCTGCACAAGCTCTAAGGCTATTTTCTACTCCTATTAAAGAGAGGGCTCTCTCTCCTTTCCTATGACACTTCTGCTCTTTTCATCCAAAGTCTATCAAATGGTCTTCCTAATAAAGTTTCACTATTGTTTTAAATAATAAAAAGCATGTATTGCCTCTTGTTGCTATTCACTTTATGATAAAAAAACTCAGTGGTTCTAAAAACATTTACTTATTTACTGACCATTTGTTCTGTATCAGGAACTATAAAAAGTACCAAGGAAGGAGCATTTATAATTCCAAGATGGCAACATATTCCCAGATTTTAAAAACTGGGAGTAGGGGATCAAAATGTAAGCAGCCAATATAAAATGGAAAAAATAAACACAACAAACCCCACAAATAACCAAAACAAAAAACAAAAAAACCCCCACATCAATCAAAACCCAAAAGTTATTGGTAAAGATAAAATTATGCACTTACACATAACACTCAGTATGAACACCTAAATATAAAACAAATATTTTAAAAGAGTGGTTAAAAAAAAAACCCAAAACATCCTTCTTCCACTTCTACTATTCTACTTTTCATAAAGGACAATAATTTGCCAATCTCTCAAATTAACAGCATATGATGAAAGCAGTAAAGAAAATAAACCACCTTGTTCTTCAGGAGAGAGGTCCTCCTCTTCCTCCTCACTGCTTTCTTGCTCCTGAATCCTATACTTTGGCTCGAAGCCTTCAGCAGCACTTAATCTAGACAAAAAAATTATTTATATAGAGATATACTGTGGTGGTATTATGCTATTATTAAAATATCTTATTCACCTTTTGAGCCTCATAAAAACATCTAAAGATGAAATGCTAGCTATGATCTGTTGAAGAAAATGAAAAGCAAGAATGCAGAAATAGATGCTAGGGAACAATGAACAGCAAAGGAAGAATTTTTTTTTTTAAATTCATGTCACGTCTCCACCTTTAAGACCCAAGTGGCAGGACTTTAAAAATCAACAAGGAATTAACACACCTCAGTACTCTAATTTTCCTGACTTTAAATAAAAAATAAGATAAAGGTGTTATAAAAATAAAATCCAGGTAAACTTATCACATATTTCTTACTACATAAGACAAACACAGTACTATGCCTTTAATTACGCATGACTGAAAAGTGCAAAGTGACAATGCTTAAGAGTCATCAGTACTTACTTCTTGGCTAAAACATCAGGAGTCATGGCTTCAGTGGCTTCAGAATCACTCAGTGTTTCATCATCATCACCTATCATACTGGATGACAAGCAAATTATAATATCTGAAACACTGTTTTGTAAGTAGAAAGAGAACGTTAAGAGTCATGCCACTCTAGTAACTTAGTTAACATATAAACATGTTAATAGCTATTGTCATTTTTGAAATTTGTTTCTGTTCAACACAAATGCCTAAAATCACAGCACTAATCAAGAAAAACCTGTGAAAATCATAAAATTTTTAAAAACTTTAGTCATCTGAAAAACAAAAACAAAACCCCAAAAATCTAAGTTTTGATTTTTTTATCTAGTAGAAAAGGAACAAATAATTTTAAAAAGAAGAAAAAAATTTACACACTTTCTAGTTTTAGGGTATGTTACTTGTGTCAACCTGAAGGTAAAGACAAATTATCCTCACAGACATAAAACTAAGCTACAAGAATATCAAAGTCTTTCAATATAAGTTAGGTAATGGTCTAAGATATTTCTATTTGTCTAAAACTGTCATCGTCTCATAATTTTTACTGGTATTTTTTAACTTTTATTTTTTTATTGTGTGTGTGTACTGTCCAATCGGATCTGACTGGTACAGGAGGAAATTGTTCCTCCTTCCCTGGCAGAGCATCTGGTGGATTCGAACCATGAGCCTCTGGGATTGCAGTGCAGCTTCTTGCCACTAGGCCACCAGAGCTCCCCTGGTATATTATTTTTATCTTCATACTGTTATGCATTACCATTTTAAATCCATTTCAAAAGTTGCCAATAATAACAATGTAATTATGTGAAATCACTAGAAAAGTTAAAAAGAATTTGAAAAAAGAATAGTAATGATCACTTGCCTCTCAGTGTTAACAGAGTTACCATCCACACAGTTATCTCCTTTGTTGTTATATGCCATCGAGTCGCTTGTGACTCACAGCGACCCTATGCACAAGAGCCCTAAATGCCGTTTTATCCTGGGCCAACCTCGCCATCTCAAACACACTCGTTGCCACCACTCCAATCACAGAATTGATCCATGTCATCAAGTCTTCCTCTCCTGTGCCGTCCCTCCACTCTCCAAAAAATGATGTCCCTCTCCAAGGACCAGTCCCTCCTTGCAACATGCCCAAAGTATGTCAGATGAAGCTTCAGAATCCTTGACTCCAGGATAAACCTGTTTGTTCTCCTAGCAGTCCATGATATATTCAACAGTCTTCTCCAGCACCACAGCTCAAAGGCATCAATTCTCTTTCTATCATCCCTAGTCACTGCCCAACTCTCCGAAGCATAGCACGTAATTACGAAGACTATAGCCTGGATCAGGCACACCTTAGTCTCCAGCCTGATGTCGTTGCTCTTCAGTACTCTTGAGAAGTCCCCCATAGCTGACTTTCCCAATGCAATTCATCTCTTGATTTCCTGGCTGCTTTTACCAAAGAGTGTTGACTGTGGGACCAAGTAAACTAAAACTGTTCACTATCTCAATCCCTTCACCATCCTTACTGATGCTGCCAATTGACCCAGTGGTGAGAATCTTTGTTTTCTTGATGTTGAGCTTTAATCCATATTGAAGGCTAAAGTCCTTGACTTTCTGCAGCAAGCGCATCAGGTCCTCCTCAGTTTCAGCAAACAGAGCTGTGTCATCCACATTACGCAGGTTTTTGATGACTCTTCCACCAATCCTGATGTCATATTCCTTCTCGTACAGCCCAGCGTCTAGGATGATCTGTTCCGCATACAGAATGAAAAGGTATGGAGACAAAACACATCCCTGACGGACCCCCTTCTTGATTTCGAACCATGTAGTGTCTTCTTGCTCTGTTCCGACGACTGCCTCTTGGTCCAAGTATAGGTTTCGCGTTAGCACAATCAAATGTTCTGGGATTTCCATTCTTCTCAGAGTCAGCCATAGCTTGTTGTGATCCACACAGTCAAAAGTCTTTGCATCGTCAATGAAGCATAGATAGACATTCTTCCAGTATTCTCTGCTTTCTGCCAAAATCCATCTAATGTTAGCTGTAATATCCCTAGTACCACAACCTCTTCTAAATCCAGCCTGCACATCAAGCAGTTCTCTGTTGACATATTGTTCCAAACGCTTTTGGGTAATTTTCAGCAGAATTTTGCTTGCCCTGATTTCTAGCTGAGAAACACGTCTAATCTTTACATTCTTTTATGGAAATATATTATTACTGAGGTGCAACATATAAATGTTTACAATTATAAGGTAGAAAATAGTTATAATCTTAAATTTTAAAGTTATGGAAGTTATATATTACTTACATGACTACACAAAAATACAGTGAGTTACTAATAGTGCTCCAGTAACAAATATAAAGTCAACATAAATTCATTATCTGCTGTTATGTAGAAGCAGAAATCAAACATAAACTCAAAATCAGTGAAATGACAAATGTCTTCGTAACACTTACCTATGATAAGGAGTGCTAGGTTCATCTATCTTCATTAAACCATAGTCTTTGTCTGCTGGGTGATATGTTGCCAGGATGTTCATTTCATCCCACTTCTGGGATTTTTTACT